AAAAAACCACTCTTGAGACACGGTGTTCTGGATTCCTGTGCACCAGACACACGTGGAACAACAGCCTCTCTTTCTGAAGGCTCGGAGCACAGATGCCTACGAGGGAGTGATTATTAGGAAAGGATTTCTTATTATCGTCAGACTCTTGCCACGCTGACTGTAGCATTTACTATAGAGAAGGCAACAGGCAGAGAGTGGAAATTAACAAGGGGAATAGAACAGAGAAGGGTACTAGATGATGCCGTGGCCACAGCTCTGGAAAGCTGGCGCCTGAGTACTCCCTGGAATTGACTTCTGCGTATCTCATCAGGCAACAGAGTTCTACAAAGACACCCCAGGACCAGAACCCTTCTTGCTTTATAGACCTTTGTCATGACTCAAGCCATTGTTCATAAATAATGCAAACCTAGGTAGCCCAGGGATCACCTCAGTGTGTAAGGAATGACACGCTGGCTGCACGGTTGCTTTGTGAAGAATCACAAATGAAATATGCATTTCACAGGCCAGACATGGTGGTGCACACCTGCAATCCCAGCACTTGGGAGGCTGAGGCAGGGGGATTGGCGCAAGTTTGAGGCCAGCCTGGGCTACATAGTGAGTTTAAGGCCAGCCTGAACTACATAGCAAGACCCTGTCTAAAAAAAATTACATTTCAAAAGTTTACCTGGATTGTCTTGGTGAAAAGTTGTGAAATTGTCACAGAGTTATACATTTTGAAATAACTGCCCCTATTGTGGGTTCAATTTACAACTATTTCTTCCTTTAATATATGTTAATGCAATTGCCAAGGCTTTAGTCTCATTCCTAACCATTTAGTTTGGGCCATGAGCACCACATTTAACAGAGAAATCTAGGCAAGATGTTGCAGCCACACAACAGATATGAATTTTTACTTTTAAGATGTTAAATCACGATAGAAACCTGATAGATACTTTAAAGGCATTGCTTTTAAAATGTAATTATGGGTGATTAATTTTTTTTGTTTTGTTTTGTTTTGATAGGGCCTCACTATGTAGCTCAAGCTGGCCTTCAAGTCTCCCTAGCCCAGGCTGGACTCAAACCTACCATCCTCCTGCCTCAGCCTCCCAAGCTTGGGGAGAACTCTGGTGTGCACATTCCAAAGTCACCCAGCTGAGCCCTGGGGCGGCATGTGTGCGGACCTGGGGACCCCTGCTCAGTGCCCGCCTTGCACCAGTCTCCTGCACTCCCTCATTACTCCCCACAACCCCCGGTCACCGTGGAATCCACTCCTAGGCAAGCACCACCAGCCGTCAGAATCTATGGGGATTCGTTGTGGGACCCCCTTTGGAGATCATAGCTGAGGACACCCAAGTCTCTTATATAAAAGGTTGTAGTCTTTGACCAAATTTATCTACAGCCTTCATGGACATGTACAGCCTTTGTGGACTTTTTTGAGACAGGGTCTGGCCATGTAGTTCAGGTTGGCCTCAAACTCACAGCAATCCTCCTGCAACAGCCTCCAGAGCTCTGGGTCCACAGGCATGAATCATGATGCCTGGGGTTCTCATAGACTTTATTAATTATTATGATTATTTTTTAAACTACAGGTGAGCCTCCTGCCTCAGCCTCCAGATACTGGGAGGAGGTGCCATCACGCCTGGCTTCTCATAGATTTCAAATGGTCGCTGCATGATTTGTAGTTACCTGATACAATGTGAATGCTATGGAAAGAGTTCTTATACAGTATCCTTTAGCGAATCAAGACAAGAAACAAAGTTTGAGTCCAATTCAGTGGTGCATGCCTGTAATCACAGCTCTCCTGAGGCGAGGCAGGAGGACCACCTTGAGTTCGAGGCCAGCCTCTGCTACTTAGTGAGTTCAAAGCTAGCCTGAATTACATAGCAAGATCCTGTTTAGAAAAGAAAGTGTACCAAGGATTGAGAATTGGAGACCATTCTGGGCAATTTAGTGAGTCCCTGATGCAAGGTAAGAGGACTGGGAACGTAGCTCAGGGGCACACTGAGGCGAGGCCCACGGCGGTCTGTCTACTCCTGGACAGACTCCAAGGTGATGGCATTTACGTGGGCCCCAACGCCTGGACGACACTGTAAGAGCACCGCGCAAGAGGTGGGTGGGAGTCAGGTGACATCATTCTGGGTGCGGAGGGACTGAGTCACGCGCTGGGGAATCGGCTCCGCACCTGCGGGACGGCTCCCCGGGGAACCAGTGGGCAGGGTTTGCGGCCCGCTGACCTCCGGGGTGTCTCTGGACCGAGCAGTTCTCCACGCCCACGCCCCAACCGCAGGCGGGGAGGGACAGCACCGCGCGTGGCGTCCCGGTGACCCCGCTGTCTGGGTCCCTCGGCGACATGGGTAAGAAACACTGATCCCGATTTTTCATCAAAATCCCTGCTGTTGCGAGGGGCCCCGAGGGCTGCGCGCCTTGATCAGGCTGGGTAGCAGACTCGCACCTTCCTCCTCCCTCTCTCTCTCCCGGGCACACCGCGAGCGCGGGCGCGCCGGGACCGGCCGGGAGCCCGCGACCTCCCCCCGGGCACCCCTCGCGCGCCCCGGCGGCCGGAACGAGAAGATCGGGTCGCTCTGACCAGATCCCGCAGACGATCGCTCTGAGTTCAAGGGTCTGAAGTCTAGGTTTCAGATCAGGACATACATGCCGCTCCAGAATCCAGGTATTTGGAAGCAGGGTCCAGACAAGCCGCTCCGGTGGCCCGTGGCGCTCTCCTTGTGATACGCTCCGTCCTCGCTTCTGTTTCTTAAAATTTTAGCAGTCATATCTTCATCACTCAGACACGAACCCCTTCATCTAATCGCAGAACCTCAGCGTTGTGTGTAAAGTTCCCTCCGAAGGAACTGTAACGGAGCGTCCCTATTGGTCCCCTCTAACCTGTCAGAGCCTCAGCTAGGCTCTGCAGAAATGGGCTGGTGCCTCTGTGCTCTGAGCCAAGAGAGCCCTTGTTGGGCAGATCAGTAAGGAAGTCTTTTTATCTAGTAAGTCTGTTATTCTCCAGTGAGAAAGCCGCACTCTAAGGCGGCGGGCTGCTCCTGGATTTGTTATGCCACTTGTGTTTTTAGCCTAATCTACACCTCCAGAATAAAAAAATTAGGTATTTTTGTACAATTTTTAAATCTTTCATGTGTGTGATACTTGCATGGGTTTGAGCTTTTTTATACTATTGATCATAGTGTTAAAAGGACTGAGACATTATTTTGCACAGAAAAGGGCTTGTTTCTTTCTACTTGTAAATTAAAATACACCCATAATTTGATTTAGCTAGCCACTACTGATTTAGTTGCAGCTGACTTTATTATTGTATACTGGTATGTGAAGGGCATACAACTGCTTTATTCTCAGAACACCCTTAACACATACATTGTGTATAAAACACGTAACAGAGTTCACAATCTGTTATTTCTCAATATATTTCAGTTGAGTCACTATTATTTTCAAGTAAAATACGGAGTTTTTCTCCCAGGTCTTTGTAATAGGTGGGCTCTGGGCTGAAGGTTGAGCAGCAAACTTCATCCTACTGAGACTCATTGTCCCACGTGTTTTACAAATAGTAACAGGCACAGTAAAATTACTACAAAAATGCTCTGCAGTATTACCCAGTCATTGTAATTATACACAAAACCCTAAACCTCTGAGGTCAGGAAGCTTGTTGTGTTTATCTTTTCGTTTCCGTGGTGCTTAGTACAGTGCTTTCAAGCAGCAGTTACTGGTCAACTGCTCCTAAAAGTGAGCTGAATGTTGACTAACATGAAACGTTAAGTCTGGAAGAAATGTTGGAGGTTATCAAATCCAACTTCCTCATTTTAAAAATATGAGACTTCAAAGAGGAAAAATGTCTAATCCAAGTCACATGACTGCTTAATAACAAAGCAGTACTTAAAAACTCAAATTTCCCCATCATAGCTCAGCTCTATTTCCTAGTACTGCACAGTCCAATATCAAAGCTTCAAATTCTAGAGATAAATAATCTACTCCTCCTTCATATTTGAAAGTTAGTAGTATAACAGTCTTCTACACATTCTAGAGTTCACATTTAGAATATTGCCTTTTTTATGAAATTAGGAATTTTTTCAAAATACAGTATAATGCACAAGTTGAATATTTTCCCTCACTGGTAGTGTTCCCAAATGGTATCATCTCTGTGGGAATGGCTACTGAGATAATAATGTTATACTCTCTGCATTTATATTCAAATCCTGGGGGAAGAGGGGTGAATAACTGAGCATCTTTTTTTTTGGTTTTTCTCCGGTACCAGGAACCGAACTCACGACCTTGCGCTTGCCAGGCAGGCACTTTGCCGCTGAGCTAAATCCCCAGCCCCCTAAGCATCTTTCTATTGGGGGATCTAACTGTGCCATTTCATTTCAGTTGGTTACTGCTTTTAATATAATATTAAAGCAAGTTACCTTGTGTTAACCAATACCTGATTTTGTTGCAAATTTTTCTATTTTATTAGTTTTATAATATTAACTTTAAGTAGATGTATTTCCAGATATCCTAACCCTAGGCTAGAATTTGGTACAGAGAAGTCTAATAAAAGAAAGAGCAGAGCTCTGAAGTCAAATTTTAAACTTCTCCCCAATTCCACAAATACCATGGTATGTCATGCTTTCCTGCATGTGCAGGAGTGTGTTCAGGAGTACAGAATGAGGAACAGCATAGCTTTCAAAACTGAAATAAAGTTGGACTTGTTCAGACAAATACATACTTACGTCCCTGTTAAGATTTAAAGAGAGTAAGAAAGAGCACACGCAGAGCAGGATTGGTGCAGCATTCACTTGTAGTGAGTGTGTGTGGAAAGTTATAAAGTCTGGCTAATTCCACAACATTTCAAGGGTACAGAAGTGAAAGCAGAAGAGTAAATGTATCCACAGAGGGATACAATTAATAGTTCGCTATGCCAAATGATGGCAACTTTTAAAAAATGCTTCCTGTGTGATAGGCAATGATAGTGCTTTACTTGCAAACTATACAGCAACTCAATGGGGTATTAATATTATGCCCAGTTTACAGATAAGTTATTAAGTTTTAGTAACAAAGACTATTACTGTAATACGTTGCTTGCCACATACAAACAAACCAGAACAATGCAAATATCCACTTGACAGGTGCTACAAGGATAATGAAAATGTTGGTTTTACTTTTCAATACCGGCATACAGACAGGTTCCAATTAGCAGGTTAATGGAAAGGGACAAAGGTAGATATTTTCCTCATTGTTCCAAGAGGGACATCCTTGCCTCACACTGACAGGGACTGATAAACTGAAAGGATGGCATTGTTTGCTATCTATCATTCTGGTTTTTTTTTTGTTTTTTTTTTGCAGTACCAGGGATTGAACTCACGACCTCATGCTTGCCAGGCAGGTGCTTATGCAGCTGAGCTATATCCCCAGCTCCCTATCGTTCTTTACTGTACTTTCTCTTTCACCAGCTTCCTCTTCCTTTGCCTATCTTACTTAACCTAGGAGTCAGACAACTGAATTTTAAACACAAGCAAGTGACCTTTCTTTTACAGTTGGTTCAGGAAACTTCATAGAATTGTTACGTTCCCACAGTGTGGACCGAGAGTGCGCAGTACGGGACTCTCACTTGTTTCACCAGCCTCCACTGGGCTTATAATGTACTCCCCAGTAAAAGATGTTGTGGACGGAATTGACACGAGCCTTCTGGGAGCAGCTCTTCCCTGGACACGTTCTAGCCTGAGAAGCATTTTTCCATCTCATTGTGGTGAAAATGATTGGCTCTGCCTCATAGGGATGTTGTAAGCATTAAATGAATGAATACAAGTAAAACACTTAGAAATGCCTGCCACATGTCCAGTTAATGGCCCATAAACGATGTTGTTGTCAGTGTTACTGTGACACAGTACCATCACCTTCCCAAATAAACCCTTCCCTATCACATCCAGTTTGCTAGCCCAAACCTTTCTTTTCCTGTAAGCTATTTCCTGATTCTATCATTGCTGTTTTATTACTTGGCTTCTTTCTTTCCTGGATTCTCAAGTGTATGGTGAACACTGAGGATGCAGAGACACGTTCTCCAGGACATGCCACCAACGTGAAAGTAGCCAGTTTGAAGCTGAAATGTGAGACTTTGCCCAGTAAAGAAAAAAAGCTGCACCCGATATTAATGGCACATCGTTCAAACTGTTTGAAAACTAGCTTAATGACGATCACTTCTGGGAGTTTAGACCAATATAGGAAATTCCTATGAATATAGAAAGATGGTGTCCTAAAACGGTAAGCAGATTGTAGTAAGCTATGGGGAATTCTACATGAACGCACATATATTGTTTCCATAGAAAATAACCTCTCTTCCTTGTACTCTGAATTACCATCACCCTTTTCTGAGAGCCAGGCACTGTGAAAGACATTTGTAATCCGCTATGCCAGCGGTAAGGGCAAATGTCTTTGAGTATTACCTCTGAGTCATTCTGGATTAAGACTCAAACCCTGCCACTGGCAGCCCTGAATGAGGCATTCAACTTGTCTGGGCCTCAGTTCCTTCACCTTTAAAAATAGGACTTACATCCTCACGGGATGAATAAGAGCCAAACAAGATAAAATATGTAAGACCATGTAGAAGAGCACAAGAGACCAGGAATGAATGCGTGAGCTCCGGTCCTTGTGAGCCTCACCCAAGCCTCATGAGGTACAGTTGGCTAATTTTCCTGCTTAAGGACAACGTCAAGTAAAAATGAGTCTGTTCTTCTAAATTTTCTGGATAATTCCGCTTTCTTTCTTTAAAAAGCAGCCATTTCAGGGATAATAAGCTAAGAACCTTCTAATTATTCTTAGATTTGACATCCGTGTTTCAATTTTAATTTCATTCAGCAGCGATTTTATATTTTACCTCTCCTGTCTATGAAGGAAATTTCATTTAGTTTAAAAACTCTTTCTAACTCCTAGGATGTCTGGACACACAGCTGTCAAGATAGCATTAATAAGCCGTTTTGGTAATCTTGATCTCTGACATAGCTATAGGATGTTTAAACTGACTCTTTCTTTTTACCCAGGGCCTTTTACTTTATGGAAATCACATCCGCCTGGGGAATTAATAGTATTTGGATAAAAATGTATTCATTTACTACCACATGTTCTTCTCTGAATTGGGTATTTTCACCTTATTGCACATTGAGCTAATCAAGTCCTAAGGATGCTGCATTTAATTCAATCTCAGAAGGTATAATTTCCCAACTGAATCTAAACAGTGTGTGACCTTTATGGTGACTTCCATAAATACAGCATTTCTTCAGTTACTCCAGCTAGCAGGGGATACACAGAAAGAATAACCGTTTTCCTTGGACAGTAGCTTCTGTGTGCTGCCGGGCTCTTCCCTTCTCCTCTCCTTCTCTAGCCTGCTCCCATGCATACAGTGTCTTTTCAACATCCCTGCCAGGGCAGTACAGGAGACCCCATCCATCTCCGGACGTCGGTGGCTGCGCGGCAGCCAAGCATCTCATTATCGGAAAGTGAAGCATTCTGGGAGAGTGGATGAAGAAGGCAGACAGCCATAGGAAAGAGGGAGAGAGAAGGACGGGAGCTGTGGAAAACTCATGCTCACTTCCTTGGTGAAGATAACGTGTGTGGAAGTAAGAACTTCCTGCTCTAGGAAGGAAAAGCATGTGGAATGTAAAACACCTGTGCCTAAGCAGATTC